GCAAACCATAATTTTGCAGTGTTTTATGACCAAAGCTCATAAATACAACACTAATCCTAATTTTCTATCACTCATGGATTAATTCTAAACTATCTGCTCTTCTTGTATGCAGTTTCTGATTCCTGGCGACATCTTGTGAAATTTTGGCTATGTCTAAATTGGGACAGGACAACTGGGTTCACACATCAGTTAGGTTATAAAAATAGGTTTGGTTCTTCCTGGTCTGACTATTCCAGTCTTATTTTTTTCAATACCACTTGTAAGAGCTCAGATATTACTGCAATTTAATGATGTAGTAACATATGAGACATATGGACTGTTACTTACAGGTTCAGCTATTTATTCAGGCATTTCTAGAAGACACTGTGGTGTGAACAATGCTGTTCAACTTACAGTGCATTGCAACAATTGTATAGGGATTTTGCTAATAAATGTGAAGGATTTTTTTTCACATTTACTCATTCTAACATGAGGGTAAGAAAATGCTAACGCAAGTGTCCTGTAGTTCTTTTGCTTTTCTCTCTCTCCTTACTTTTATTTTCTATGAATGAGGCCTTTAGAAATCACTGGGGATCTACCTTACAGATCTTGCTAGGGCACCTCTTCCAAAGCAAAGAAATCATTAATAATAAACTTTAAAAAAAAAATAAACAACAAAAAGAAGTTATATTACAAAATAAATCTACCAGGCTTACAAAGAAAACAAATTTGAAAGAGCCACCTGCTGTGGAGATGAGGCAGTAATCTCAGCAGCAGGAAATAAATGGAGAGAAAAAGAAAATACAAAAGCATAGGCATTAAAAAAGTAATTAAAACACTTATCTCCATCAACATACATAGCAAACAAAAAAAAAAACCCAACCACCTAGGAAACATACTCTATTGAACCTCACAACAGGAAATAACAAAGCTGCCACCAAAAAAGAAAAAGCACCGAGCGTCCACCAAAATGAGAGAGATATCATTTAGAAATAGAGGCCTTGAATGCATTTACTAATGTGTTAATCACTAATGGACTGACCTTGAAAGAAGCTGAGCACCTGCAGAGCATTTGCAACTTTATTGGGCGTTTATTCTTTCAGAAATACCTTTAAAATGTACAGAAAGCAGCTCTCCAGATACCGATGGCTTTCTGTTCCATTTCTTATGAATAGAACAGCGTGAATTGTAATGGCGCGCTTGCTGTAATCAGGCACGTGGCACAGCTCTGGTGCCATATTTGTGTAGTGTGTTTCAGTGGAGTTCTCTTATCTAAATTATTGTTTAAAATTGATCCATGGGCTGTAATTTTATCTATATTGATATGAATGAATATGGTTTATAAATAGTGTGAATGGTGATGAATACAACTAGGTTCTATCATGTCAAGGGAATACTATGAATTTTACAGTTACAAGAATCTACTGTTTTGATGTTATCTTTAAGTGACCACTTTAATGTACTTAAAATTCATGGTCCAATTTATACAATTCATGATCTGTGAGATGTAGAATAAAACTGCCTTTTATACATAGATTCTGATCTCCACATCCCTAGAATGCATCCAGACTTTTTGAAGAACAGAGCATTCAGAAATATTGAAGGATGCTTGTGTGCTCGGAATTTACTCTGTGTTCTTTTCTGCTGTGCCCCTTCATAGTCACTCTGACTGTATGGAATCTGTGGCTGTAAGTCTCTGGGAAGTGAGAAGTGCTATCAGAAGTGTTACGCCTAAAATATTTTCATATGGAAACACGAGGAGCAAATTGGAGCACTTCAGTAGGTTAAAGAGCAGGACGATGACAAAAAATGTGTACCAAAGACTTTTATTGTTAATTCAAAATGTCACTTTCAGGAGGGAAATGGTGGATTTAGAAACTTACTTTCAGAGAGTGACTGTTAGATCTGTATCTACTGTAGGGCATTTTTAAGAAACACAAATATGCTGTTATATTGTTAATGAATAGCTCATCAGACCATGTCAATTCCTCTCCGATATTTGTGTCAGTCTCTCCACCAGACCTCCACCGTTCATTTCCACAGGGCACATGAGTGGCCAGAACTTGCTGTTATTCCTCAGTCTGCCGAAGGTGAGCTATTGCTAGTGCTAAACCTGTGATGCCTCATTCCTTGTGTTCAAGTTTCTTACGCTGGTTAGCAGGCTGGGTCTTGGTATGTCTAGGCTTGGCCTCTCAGATACTGCTTCAGCAGACTTGTACTGCCATAAAAGCAGATATGAAACTAATCGTATGTTTCTTCTGATTGCATCCACTTTCTTATAAAATTCGTACATTTTTCTCCCAAGCTCAGATTCTGACAGTTCAAGGATTTCCACCTACTCCTAGGATCTTCTGTGCCCCTATTCTTCAGAATATTCCCTGCCAGGAAGGACAGGGCATGTACTGAAGAGGGATCCTTATTTATTTATTTTGTCTGGCAGAATTTTTCCTGTAAACATGTATTTAAAATCATATTTTGCTCAGAAACATCTCTTTTTTCATAGGTACAGCAAAAGGTTCAAAGATTTCCTTAGTCCTACAATTTTCTAATATTCCATGTTTCTTTGACATGGAAACACTTAAAAAGAAATTACAAACTGGTGAAAGGAGTTTGATAATGGTTTTGGTTTGCTGGTTTAAAAAGGAAGAAAAAAAAGTATGTGCATACAGCCAATTTTCTTTGTTTTCTTTTGAAATAAATTTGGATCAATTTCTAAACATAATGTCATTTTGAGGCAGTTGAAAGATTCATTTAAAAATGTTGAAACTCAGCATCTTTGCTTTAAAAACAAAACAAAACACAAAAAGTTCTTAGTGTATTTCAAACAAATTGCTTTAGCCAAAATGAATTTACATTTTTACCTAAAACGTAGGGTTGGTAAAAATATTCAACCAGCCCTCTGCTTGAAAACTCTCTATTCTCACAACAGCAATAGCTAAGACAAGGAATGGGAACTTTACTTGACAGACCCCAGTTCCTCATTTGTTTACCTGATGCAGCCTGAATTATTCCAGAATGTTGTATTAACACAACGAAAAATGAAACAAAAACCCACCAGTGCCTGCTGTGAGGAAAAGAAGAAAAGTTCACAGTGCTGTACTAACTTTGCTCCCCGTAGGTTTTTATATGTTTACACTTCAACTTCAGCTCCTTTTTTTAAAATTTATTTATTTATTTATTTATTTTTGTCTGGAGATTTGTTTTCAGTCAGCCGCCAATGAAAACTACACTTGACCCTTTTCAAGGAACAAGACTTATTTTGTATGTCAGTTATTAAGACTGGCTGGGAAGTTCATATGAAACTGCAAATCTGCCCAAACATGTCAGATTTAAGTAATTCAAACAGTGATTTCAGGTTCAGAAGGCAGTCCTGTTTCTGGGGAGAGGGGATTTGATCATAATAGGAAAGAGATACATGCTGTGCCTCTACTCCCACATCAGTTTTCCTCTCCAGACCAGGCTAACGTTTACAGTAATAGCAGCAGTACATATTTCCTTTTTGGACTTGCTGATTGATATGTTGACATGCCTTGATTTATTTGGTGCAGCAAGCAAGTGGACTAGGTGCATTTCTTTGCATGCCAATCCACTACATTGTATATGCATCACTCTTTTAGATTGCCTTTGTAGATCTCGCAGACTCTAATAATTTTGTGATTCATATTTCATCTGGACTAGGGGATTGTAAAAGGGTCTAAATTGCGTCTCTTCAGATGGAGATGAAGAACTTGACACCTACAGTAAAGAAAATTAGCATGTATCTGTATTGTGAGAACAATGAGAAAAGGTCCTAACCCTTTCCTACTCGAAATAGCATTCCTCAAAGTACAATCCTGCTTTGCTGTTGGTGCTAAAGCAGAGTGTTATTGAGGTTTTCTACCAGCAGCCAATATATCTCAAAGAGGTGAAAGATCAGTGCTGCCATCCATGTCTGGGGATGGAGCGAAGTGTGTTACTTTGTTTACTCCATTTCTGCCTACTGGTTCTAAGGGCTCCTTGGTTGCTCTGTGCTTTCTGAGAAAGAAATATTGACATTTACTTCACTTCAGTAGGTAATTATTGATTGGTATGTTTTCATGGGAATATGATTTATTTATTTTTTTAAGATTCAAATGTGAAAGGCAAAGCCATGTTGAAAATACCCTAATTTATTCCATTTGCAAGAAAAGAAGTTTTAACTTCTGTGCTGGGTGGACAGTTTTCTGTGCTGTATAATGTATAAACAAATGTATTAACAGCAGCACAAAGCCTGTCTTTGACAATTGGAAGATACTTTTTGCTATTTTGTTTTAATCAAAAGATGTTTGTTTCTTTCATTGGTTGTGAAGAGTATCACTGTGTCCTACTGCTTTTGGATAAGTTTGTGCGGTTAATTAACTACAAATAGATGTCGGCAAACAAGGACTTCAGGGTGTTGAGAAAATGGTCAACTACGACCAAAAAAAAAAAATAAAAATGATATACAAGTAGTCAGAGATAAGAAATTTAAACAGCATCACCACTCATGCCCATTACTAATAAATTAGGCCATTCCCTATTACCTCACTTGTGTTACCTGGAATCTAACTGTATTGAATAATATCTCAAAACAAAGGGAACGAAACTGATTCCCAGCAGTTTGAGTTGTGCATGAAAGTAAAGCTAAGTAGGAAAAGTTTATTACAGTCATGCTTTTCCCAGTAGCTTCTCTACTTCTGCATCCAGTATGTTTTGTTTTCTTTAACCCTATTCTTTGCATTTATTTTGGTATAAGTTAATCTGAGTGCAAAGGTTATTCAACAACCCTGTTTTCTAATGCTGGTTCTATTAACAGATCAACCATTCTGTATGCTGCTGACAACAAACATGATGCTGCAGTCGTTTGTGATGTTTTTTGTTTGTGTGCTTTTTTTTGAACATCTGAGGTTTTGTAGGACTACTTGTATTGTGTTTACTTTTGAGAGTGTTCATGTAATGTGAAATATTTTTTATTATTGAAATTTCCCTGACGGTTCTGATCTACCTTAACATATTTGTTTCAGGTTTACCAGAACCAAACAGAGACAGTATATTCCAAGGGCTGAAGATGGATCAAGGGTTTTACACATCAAAAGACTTCCTACCTTTGGTAGCTGTGGCAAGTAAGCCAGGTGTGTGATACTTTGCTTCTGTTGTAAACATATTCAGTAAGTCATTAGCCGCTCCTGAGGTACAAAAATGCACAGGTGATTATACAGCACTGCATCCACCTACACAGCACCTCCCTGTGAAAAGTTCTGGGCCAAGGCTTTCTCCTGGGGAGCTGCAACCTCAGGAGAGTGTGGTAACTAACATCAGTTCCACAGACTGTAAAGCAAATAGTCATATATAAAAATCTATGAACCTGGCAATCTATTACCCACAATAAATTACATTTGTTAATTGAATTGTATTCTGCAGACATAAAAAACTTCTCATTTGTATATATTGATAGAAATTACACATGGTAAATATAGGATGGTCTTGAAATCTGGTATTAAATCTTTGCTGACCCACGTAAACAGCTACTTTGTATGTTGTTGATAATTTGTTTTACTTGTAGCACCATTATCCCAAGTCAGTCATGCGCTGAATGTTCACAAGCAAATTTAAAGGGTCAGTAGTTCCCTACCCAAAAAACCTCAGGACAGCATTAATATGATCGTAGTTAGACAAATGCCGCCTTTTGTGCTTTTACAGATTTGTTTTGAGTGCAGAAATGCCTGATTTTTCTACCCAGGGAGTATAGATACTTTCGGTGGCTCTGAAAGTGATGTCCTAAGCCCTGGAAGGATGGATGACGTGGGACTTGTGATTTTTATGCCATGTTCCCTCAGTCTAGATTCTCCAGTGTGCTGATAAAAATAAAAGAAATTTCACATATAATTTTCTGGATATATATCTATGTCTGTTCTTAGTGTAGTATATGTTTTTACGCAGGTGACCACATATTTAATATAAATACGCATATGCCACTTTCATCTGCAAAACGTTTTTATTTGAACCATTCTGAAATTTCTTTTAGCATCAGATAGAGTTGCCTGCTTATTTAGAAGACTTTATTAGCGTGTTAAAGAATATACCTCCTGTGGCAAAGTATTCTGCATGTAGAAGTAAAGTTTGTTACTCCATTTTATACAAAATATTTAGGAAGGGAAATATTCCCTATGCGCCTATCCCCATCTATCCTATCTCTCTGCTGTTTTGATCAAATGCTTTTTTCTAGATATGTTCCTAAGCTCAGTGAGCTCAAATGAGTTGGGAGAAAAAGTTGCTTTTTTTCTTTACCTTTCCTTTTTTTTTTTTTTTTTTTTTTTTTGGAAAGTGTTTAAAAATGAAACAGGTTGAGAATATACACGTCAAAACATTTTTTGATTAACAAAAGCAAAGCAAATCTTTAAAAGCAATTCCCCCTCATAATAATGTGACTAAAGATGCTTCGTAGAATTCTATATATGTGCACACAAATAGGGTACTCGAAGGCATCTTCCTGAACGAGGGTCTATAAAACTGTGATCTGCATCTTTTTAAATGCTGCAATGTAGCATTCCCAATTTATCAGAATATGTAATGATATTTTTCATATTAAGTCTAAAATAAATATAAAAACAAGAATAAACATTTTTTTTCTGACTGGCAGTAATAGATTGCTATTTAGTGTTGTTTGCTAATCGATGTGATCTTTCTATCTTAATTTTAGTCTTTCTGCTGCTGTAGTCACCTCTTGATCTCTAAAGAACAAAATTTTAAAATATAATACATGTACTGTATATTCTGCTCTGTCCTCAGATTTACTATGACATTTTTCTGAATGATAGACTTACCCACTTTAAAACAGACAGCACTCTGCGTGCTTGTTATACTTTCCTCCAAAGGGATTCCCTTGGTAAATACAGTCATTTAACTTGTGAGTGGCTTTGCTACAGTTGGCTTATATTTCAAATTCTTGTTTCACTGCACCCTTCCAGCCTTCTGAAAATACTCAGAAAACAGATATGGGCTATTGGAGAAATAAGGAACAAAGTGGGCAAACACAACTGGTCCACTCTAGGCTAGGTTTGCATGGCATTTTGAGATGCCATTCCACTCTTGCACTTGCTCTTTTTCTGTTGTTCGATGTGCAGTTTTTGTGGAGAATTAAATTCTTTAAAAATAAAATAAAATAAAAAAGTTTAGAAAGAATAGGAGTCTTATTAAGTAAATGGCAAATGCAATTCCATATACGTGGGGGAAAATGATAGCATTTGCCATATATCAAGCATTTTGCAAGCGGAGAGAGGATATATATTTCCAATCCATTTCTATGTTTAAATTACAACTACTGTTTTATTGAATAATTTGTGTGTTTCTGTACAACTGAGAATGTTGAAAATCTGCTAGTGCTGTAGCAGGATATTCAAGTCACAGTGCAATGATTACACGGTTAGTTTCTCCTGACTCAAATTATCGCAGGCTGGTTGAGAATGTAACATTATATTGTTTATGGCATTGTCTTTGAATTGCAGTAGTTTCCCTAATAAATAGTTCTACTTAAACTGATAGCAAAGTGGAATTTAATGCAATACACAGAGTGAATCCGAAAATACAAGCTATGGGTAACAAACACACAATGTCAACATTCTCTGCATGTAACTTTCTGCAAACACTTTGTGAAAACCACTGTAGATCAACTATTTTTCCCAGTGCAACATTTAGGAATTAGTATAATAATAATCTTTCTGCCTGATGTTCAGCTGTCATAGGGAATAGTTTCTGAGAACCACGTCAGCATAAATGCCTCACAGAAAACTGTGTCTAAGGGGCTAACTTTGAGAAGCTATCATCCGAATCTATCAACCACTGAAAAGTTGTCTTAAAAAAAAAAAAAAAAAAAAAAAAAAAAAGCAAGTGATATTCATTATGATCTGTAATGAGTTGTTTTTTTTTCTTAAGCCATCGTGGTACTGAGTCTGATACACGAGAAGCTTAATTTTTGAATAAAAACATATTACAATGCTAATTTCTACCCAAAAGGACTCACAAAACTAGAACTGCATCATTTGTATCCTTTCCAGATAGAATGGTGCTGCTCCTTAGAGTTCTGACTATACAATTATGTATATGAGCGTATCTTAAAAATGGGAATAAAACTGTCTTTCAGTGAAGCAGAATAATTTGATAGTGACACTCCATGCTTAGAAACTGTAAGATGCAATTTTACACTGCTTTGAGTACAAGTACCTTTTGAGCTGTCAAGCAGAAATGGTTTCTCATACTTGAAAATGGGGTTTTTCCTTTCATCTTTCAGGGATATGTGCCTGTCACTCTCCATTGCCATCAATACATGGAACTGTGATTGTACTTGGGGCAGGAGACACTGCTTTTGACTGTGCAACATCTGCTTTACGCTGTGGAGCTCGTCGTGTGTTTGTGGTCTTCAGAAAGGGCTTCACTAATATCAGGGCTGTCCCAGAAGAGGTAAAAGTGAAAAACACTATTTATAAGAAGGAATAATGGTTGTTATTTCTGTAGAGCCTGAAAGTGCAGTGTTGGTACTTAAAAGACATCTACTAAAATATTTGTTTTTAAAAATGCTCTTAAAATGTATCTGAAAGTTTATTTAAGCTCTAAAGCTCAGTTTATGTAGTCTTTGGAGAAGTCACTTCTCTATTGTACCCTGTAAAGTCAGAGAGATGCCTAAAAAGGCTAAAATTTCCTGTAAAGTAGAAATCTGTAAAGGTCTGAAAATCTTGGAGGCACCCCAGGGATCCATGAGGCATTGGAGTATTATAGGTAGCTCTTCAGGTCCGAGGAATGGACTTTATGGCTGCTGCCTAGTGAATCTCAGTGATCTTGACACAGCTTTGTGAGCCTCTAAATTCTTGTAAGGAAATTATGATGATTTTTGTTTGAATCACTGCCAGTGGCAATAGAGAGATGACATTAATCACATATTTCAGTGTTCAAACTAATTTTTAGTTTGACGTTGCACTTTGGCATTTATCAGGACTTCTGCAAATTCTGAAACTGGCTACGCCTCCTCAATTATCTGTATAGCAAGAATTTTTTTTTTCTGGTTAGATTTTCTTATTTTGGTGCTTCTTCCATTATAAATTTTTTTGGTATATCCTCCATACTTTTGAAAGATTTTAGCTAGTAGTACCTCAATTGCATCTTTAAAAAAAGATTTATGGGAATTTGATAATCTCTTTTCAAGAAGGTGGACGTCTTAGAGATCTTATACAAAGTGGATGGAAGTGGAAAAAGAAAGATGTTTGGAAGCATAATTATGTTTCTGTTGCACTTAAAATAAGACATCTAAACACCATGAAATTACTGAAGTCATTGTGGCAAAGATTCATGCTATTCAGATTCTTCCTCATTAAGAATCAGCTGTCACTCTGAACCCAAATCTTTGTTAGCAGCCTAGGTCAATTCCTAAAAGCTATCAATGTTCATGTTATCACATCATGCAGCAGTCTTGAAAAAAATATATTAAAAATAGCTTTAGCTAGTAATGGCCATGCTAGAATGATGTCAGGTTGAACACTTCGTAAGATATTATGTAATGTAAAATATACTAGCTTTATGTTATTTGTCAAGTAAAGACAATCAAATACTGAAGTCTCTACTAAGGCATGCTGTTTGACTTTTTTTTAGTTTTTTAGACTAACTTTAGACTTACCACATCAGAGAATATTAAGTATTGGCAGTCATGCTATTATTTGCACATGTTATTCGGCATTTGATAATAAACACAATCTTGAAAACGTAAGTTGGATCATGTACTTAGTTAATGCTATGCCTCTTAAAGCACAGCCAGTTGCAAAAGGTAGGTCTTCTGCCCTCAAAGAAGTTATTCAAAATGACAAGGAAGAATAAGATAATTAGGAAATCACAGGATTGCAGGGGTTGGAAGGGACTTCTAGAGATCATCAAGTCCAACCATGCTAAAGCAGTTACTCTACAGTACAGCATACAGCTAGGCATCCAGACAGATCTTAAATATCTCTAAAGATGGAGACTTCACAACCTTTCTGGGCATGCTGTTCCAGTGCTGTGGATTCTAGTGTGCAATTTTCTATGTTCCAGTTTTTGGCTGTTGCTGCTTGTTCTATCACTACACACCACTGAAAAGGGTTTGGCCTCATCAAATTGCTTCCCATGCTTTAGATATTTATAAACATTGATAAGATCCCCTCAGCCTTCTCTTCTCCAGGCTGAACAGATCCAGGTTTCTCAGCCTTTCCTCATATGGGAGATGCTGCAGGCCTTTACCATCTTTGTCACCTTCTGCTGGACTCTTTCTAGGAGATCCCTGTCTTTAGCTCCCAAAAGAGCAGGATGCAGTACTCTAGATATAGCCTCACCAGGGCAGGGTAGAGGGGGATCATCAACTTCTTCAACCTACTGGCCATGATCGTTTTAATACACTCCGGGATACCATTGGCCTTCTTGGCCACAAGGGCATGTTGCTGGCTTATGGCCAATCTGTTACCACCAGGACCCCTAGGTCCTTCTCTGCAGAGCTCATCTCCAGCAGGTCAGCCCCTAACCTGTACTGATGCATGTGGTTATTCCTCCTTTTTTTATTATCCTTTACCTCCTTTGTCAGATTAAACACCAAGTGGGCCCTAACCTCCTTCATTGCATCCCTGCAGGCTCTGGCTATATTTCTGTATTCTTCCCAAATGAACAGGCTCTTTTCCCATTGTTCTTGGACCTTCTTTCTTCCCTTTGAGTTTATCAATGAACTCCTTGCTCATCCATGCAGGTCTCCTATCACCTTTTCCTGATGTCTTACTGTTATCATAGAATCATAGAATCACTAAGGTTGGAAAAGACCTAAAAGATCACCCAGTCCAACCATTCACCTATTCCCAATAGCTCCTACTAAACCATGTCCCTCAACACAACATCCAGTCTTTCCTTGAACACCCCCAGGGTCGGTGATTCCACCACCTCCCTGGGCAGTCCATTCCAGTGCCTGACCACCCTGTCTGAAAAGTAATACTTCCTCATGTCCAGCCTGAATCTCCCCTGCCGTAGCTTGAAACCATTCCCCCTGGTCCTATCACTAATGACACGAGAGAAGAGGCCGACCCCCAGCTCACTACAACCTCCCTTCAGGAAGTTATAGAGAGCAATAAGGTCTCCCCTGAGCCTCCTCTTCTCCAGGCTGAACATTCCCAGCTCCTTCAGCCTCTCCTCATATGGCCTGTGTTCCAGACCCCTCACCAGCTTTGTTGCCCTTCTTTGAACACGTTCCAGGGCCTCAATATCTTTCTTGCAGTGAGGGGCCCAAAACTGGACACAGTACTCGAGGTGCGGCCTCATGAGTGCTGAATATAGGGGAACAATCACCTCTCTGCTCCTGCTTGCAACACTGTTTCTGATGCAAGCCAGGATGCCATTGGCCTTCTTGGCCACCTGGGCACAGTGTCGGCTCATGTTCAGCCGAGCATCAATCAATACCCCCAGGTCCATTTCCTCTACGCAGTCCTCCAGCCACACCGCCCCAAGCCTGTAGCGTCGCCTGGGGTTGTTGTAGCTGAAGTGCAGGACCCGGCATTTGGCCTTGTTGAAACTCATCCCATTGGCTCCAGCCCAGCTCTCCAGCCTGTCCAGATCCCTCTGTAGGGCCTCGCTACCCCCAGGCAGATCCACACTTCCAGCCAATTTGGTGTCATCTGCGAATTTACTGAGGATGCACTCGATGCCCTCATCCAGGTCATCAATAAAGATATTGAAGAGGACAGGCCCCAGCACCGACCCCTGGGGAACACCACTCACGACTGGTCGCCAGCTGGATTTGACTCCATTCACCACCACTCTCTGTGCCCGGCCCTCCAGCCAGCTCCTTACCCAGCCAAGAGTGCACCCATCCAAGCCTCTGGCCGCCAGCTTCTGCAGGAGAATGCTGTGGGAGACAGTGTCAAAGGCTTTGCTGAAGTCTAGGTAGACCACATCAACAGCCTTTCCTTCATCCACCAGATGGGTCACTAGATCATAGAAGGAGATCAGGTTGGTCAAACAGGACCTGCCCTTCATGAACCCATGCTGGCTAGGCCTGATCCCCCGGTCACCCTGCACATGCCGCATGATCTCCCTCAAGACGATCTGCTCCATAACCTTCCCTGGCACCGAGGTCAGGCTGACAGGCCTGTAGTTCCCCGGATCCTCCTTACGACCTTTCTTATAAATGGGAGTCACATTGGCAAGCCTCCAGTCTTCTGGGACCTCACCAGTCAACAAGGAGCGCTGACAGATGATGGAAAGCGGCTCGGCTATCACCTCCGCCAGTTCCCTCAGCACTCTCGGGTGGATCTCATCTGGCCCCATCGACTTGTGACAGTCCAGCTGGAGCAGTAGGTCTCTGACTGTTTCTTTCAGAATCACAGGGGGGTTAGTGTGCTCCCCAGCCGAGATTACCAGGTCAGAGAGAGGGGTATCCTGAGGATAACTGGTCTGACTTTTAAAGACAGACGTAAAGAAGGCATTCAGAACCTCCGCCTTTTCCTTATCCTCAGTGGTCACATTCCCAGCCTCATCCAGCAAAGAGTGGATATTCTCCTTTGTCCTCCTCTTACTGTTAATGTATTTATAAAAGAGTTTCTTATTCCTTTTCACACCAGCGGCTAGGTTAAATTCAAGCTGGGCTTTTGCCTTTCTGATTTCACCTCTACACATCCTAACAACTTCCCTGTATTCATTTTGAGTGGCCTGTCCCTCTTTCCACAGGCGGTAGATTCTCTTTTTCTCCCGGAGCCTCAGGAATAGCTCCCTATTCATCCATGCCGGTCTTCTTCCCCACCGGCTCATTTTGCAGCTCAGGGGGACTGCCTGCTCCTGCGCCCTTAAGACTTCCTTCTTGAAGAGCAACCAGCTTTCTTGGACCCCTTTGCTCGCTAAGACTGAATGCCAGGGGACTCCCCCTATTAGTCCCCTGAACAATTCAAAGTCCGCCCTCCTGAAGTCCAAGGTAGCAGTATTACTATTCCCCCTCCAGGCTCCACCATGAATCACAAAGTCTATCATTTCATGATCACTCTGTCCAAGACAGCCTCCAACCTCCACATCTCCCACCAAACCTTCCCTGTTTGTGAACAGCAGGTCTAGCGGGGCAGTTCCTCTCGTGGGCTCTCTGACCAGCTGTATCAGGAAGTTGTCCTCTACGCATTCCAGAAACCTCCTAGACTGCTTCCTCTGTGCTGTGCTGTACTCCCAGCATACGTCAGGGAAGTTAAAGTCCCCCATGAGGGCAAGGGCAGGCGACTGTGCAGCTTGTGCCAGCTGCTTATAGAATACCTCGTCTGTTTCTTCAGCTTGATTTGGGGGTCTATAACAGACGCCCACCAGGGTGCCTGTCTTGTCAGCCCTTCCTCTGATCTTTACCCATAGGGATTCAACGTTATCGTCCCCAGTCATAATCTCAGTAGCGTAAAAGCATTCCCTAACGTAGAGAGCTACACCACCACCCCGCCTTCCTTGCCTATCTTTCCTGAAGAGTTTATAGCCATCCATTGCAGCACTCCAATCGTGGGAGCAATCCCACCACGTTTCCGTTATGGCAACTAGGTCATAGTTTGCCTGCTGCACAATGGCTTCCAACTCTTCTTGTTTGTTGCCCATGCTGCGTGCATTAGTGTAGACGCACCTCAGCTGAGCCCCTCGCCTCTCACCTAATCCCATTACCACTTCCCCAGGCTGCTCTCTAGCAGGCCTGGCTTTATCCCCCTCCCCCTTCCTATCTAGTTTAAAGCCCTCTCTACAAGTCCCGCCAGCTCCTGGGCAAGTATCCGTCTCCCTTTTGGAGACAAGCAATTCCCATCAGCAGACCTCAGGCCAGACGCCGAGTAGACCACCCCATGATCAAAGAATCCAAAATTTTTGCGCTTGCACCAGCCTCTCAGCCATGCATTTATAAGATGGCTTTTCCTGGTCATCTCAGCGTTCATCCCTGCCACCAAGGGAATACTGGCAAACAAGGATGTACTTGTTGGATGTACTGATCTTAAGTTTAGAAGAAGCAGTGTTTGAGTGTCAAACAACTCTCATGGCCTCCCTCTCCTTCCAATGCTCTAGCCCATGGGATACTTCTAAGAAGGTCCCTGAAGAGGTTAAAGTTGGCTCTTCTGAAGTACAGCAATCCTTCCTGTTGCTTTGCTTCTTCAACATAAGATCCCGAATTCCATCATCTCATGACTGCTGCATCCTGAGCTGCCTCCAGCTTTTACACCCTCAATGAGCCCTCCCTTGTTAGTCTGAACGAGGTCAAGCAGCACACCTCTCTTCATTGGCTTCTCCACCAACTGTGTTAGAAAGTTATCTTTAATATATTGCAGGAATCTCCTGGAGCGTGCATGCCTGGATTTTTTTTTATGCAACAAATATCAGGATGATTGAAATCCCCCATAAGTACCAGTGCCCTGGATCACAAGGCACCTTCCGGCTGTTTGTAGAAGCCCGCATCAATTTCCTCCTGATCAGGTGGCCTTTAGTACACACCCACAGTAGTGTTACTGGTATTAGCCTGCTCTCACCCACAACCTCTCCACTTTTACCCCCAGGTGGAGCTTGATAGATTCTAGTTCCTCTGTCGCATGAAGAGCAATTCCACCACCTCACCTCACCAGCCTGTCTTTCCTAAAAAGGACGTAAATGTGTCAGAAAACCATTTGCATTGCAAATCTAACAAGCGCCACTGTCTAGAAACTGATTGATCGAGTAGCACAGAAATCAGTATTAAGATGCCTATCAGTATAACATACTCAGAGCCTTCTGCTTAAGAAGAACGTGTGGTAACATCTTGAGTGAACTTTTTATAAAGCTTATCATGTTTGCTTATTTATTTTATTACTTCTACTCTACAGATGGAACTTGCAAAAGAAGAGAGGTGTGAATTTCTGCCTTTCCTCTCCCCTCGGAAAGTTGTACTTAGAAGTGGACGTATTGTTGCAATGGAGTTTGTTCGAACTGAACAGGACAGTGATGGAAACTGGAAAGAGGATGAGGATCAGGTTGTTCGTCTGAAAGCTGACGTGGTGATCAGTGCCTTTGGTTCAGTTTTGCGTGATGCTGAAGGTAATCCTGAGTAATGCATTTCATAGATATCAATTGTTGTTTCAGCTGCAGCCATTTTGTGTCCTTTGGCGGTTTTGCGAAATGAGTCTTCAGATTATAAAGCTTGTGACTCAGTCCTTTCAACAGAATTTTGTTTGCCCTTTAATTATGTTTCTTAGGACAAAACTAAGAGTATGATTAACATCAGTGTTCTGTAAGTTACCGTCTAGACCAGGAACCCAAATTAGAGGTACAATTGCTCAGTATATATCTTGCTTTCCTCTCAATGCAGAAGGGATAACAAAGGATACTCCTGGGGAGTTCTTCTGGACTCACTAATTAACCTTATAGAAACTCATTATACTACAACTTCAGACTGAACTGATCTGATCTCTGAAACCATTTTTACCTGTTGAATTAAGAATTAATTAAGAATTAAGACAGATTCATTTTTCTGGTTCAGCCACTCTGCGTATCACTCACTTCTTATACGTACCCAAGAGGACTGTGGCTTCTCTCATACAAAGAAGAATTTGTTAAATTCTTCTGTGCTTTTCTCAGCATGTCTCATTGTTTACTTGTACATTACAATCTTTGGTCTTAAAAATAAATTAAATAAATAAATAAATAAAAAGGGAAAGCAAGTATTTAGTTCAGTAATAAGTATAAAGAAATTGGTATGTAGTTGGCATTTCAGTGTCTCAACATTTTACTCAGATGCAAAAGAGAGCAGAAGAAAATGATTTCAACTAAGAACACAAGAACTGAGCAAAGCTCAGACTGTGTTCTCTGACACAGGTTAAAGAGTTCAGATGCATGTAACAAAGGTGACTTGAAAGTAAAAACTTATGAACAATTCTAGAATGTTTTGTTGTTGATAATTTTTAAAAATCCCCTGGTTTAAGTCTTTTGGAAGGGTTTCCATAACCTCATGTGATAAATCAAATATTAGTCTATGCAATCAGTTTGTTTCGTTGTGATTCATAGAACTTGTGATAAAGGAGTGATTCTGTTTTTTCCTACGCTGCAAACTGCTTCATCTAAAAGGGCGAACTTTGTTGTGTTGCTTAGCCATGATAATGTGCCAGCCTTGTATTTTCTGCTATGCATTCACCCTCTAAATGACATGTTGTGAGGTTTTTAAATATGAACACAAAATTTGAGGGGAAAAAAAATCATGTAGCAATCTGATCATGAAAGAAAAGAATCATTGCCCTTGGGTTTGAGCAACACTCTTCAATTTCAGAATGTATTTTTGGTGAAACTGCTATTAAGATGGAAATCAAATTATAAAGAAAGAGGCAGGAAATATCAGCATTTGTTTTGTACGTTCTGAAAGTGAAAAGACTAAGACTGGAGGGAATAAAGTACTTATTCTGAGCATACCATTTCAGTTGCTTTTAAACCTTTATTTTTTTGCCTAAGCTGGCCTAACAAAAGTTCGATTTACTTTTCACTATTGAGCTGAATTATAACCAAATCTTCAGACATATAGAACAAAAAGGAGCGACAGCAAGACACATGAATACCTCCCAATATCTTATATTCTTAATGTCTTTCTAAAAGGCACCATGTTTTTGTATTCAAGAGATGGAAATATTCAGATTTCTCCAATAAGAGTTTGAGAAGAGAGCACCAGAAATACTTGAAACTGGACAAGGCCCTGAGCAACTCAGTCTGGCTTTGAACTTGATCTAACTTTGAAGACAAGTTTGGACTAGGCCATCTCCAGAGGGCCTTTACAGTCTGAATTTTTCCATTTCTAGATGACTCACATGCATGTTCAATAAGCATGTTATTTGTTGCACATGCAGAGTTCTGTCAATGATCTAATTTATAAGGCATCTGTGGCAATAATGGATGCTGGTACAGGTGGTATACTATTGGTATGGGTTAAACTAGCAGGATTTGTCTATTTCTTATTAATAATGTTTAATACTGATGTTACTGATGTAAGAATAAAGAAAATGCTATGAGAACCAAAGGGAATGAAATGAGACTTAGTCCCTGTTCAGTGAAGTGTAGGACATTCTTTGATATACCTGTTTTGCTTAACGCAACACAAAGACTTGTGTGCTGCTGGACTGACCAGAAGTAGTCTATACGCTAGAAAGCTTTTTCTAGTCTATTATCCTCATCAAGCTGTTTCATATTCTCTAGGGCAGTAACTATTACATTTCCACCAAAAACTCCATGCACTCGCAGTAGATGTTTAGTCTTTTCCTTTTTTCTTAAATAATATGCTAATTGTGTTTTTAAACAACAGTTCAGTAAATATTCATCCTCCCATTGGAAATCACATAAATGCATCATTCATTAGAAAGAAATCAGTTGTAAATCCATTTTATGCTCATGAAGTTGCTAATAGACAAAGCAGAAGTGTTGTCCTCTAGGCTGTTATAAGATCATTGGCACTTTACTGAAACCAGTTTAAAAAAAAAGAAAAAGATCGATCTACTATGGATAGAGTAAAAACAAGGTTTTTCTTTGTTGTTATAAAAAGATTTTGCAAGCACAAGCTGCCTTTTTCTTTTTTTTTTTTATTTAAATTTTTAAATTATTGCATAGATTACCAAACTCTTCAACCATCATAACTGATTAACATAAATCAAAAGATGAAAGAAAATTTTGTACCCTTTCTGATGCTCCGGCTTTTTTGCCTGCTTTATTATTTTGGAGGCCTGCAATGTATTACTGAAATATCTCTGGCACCATTCTAAATTGCAGCTAATCAACATATACACATGTAATGCTAATTACATCCCTAGTACTGCATGCAGCCTCAACATCCTATTCAAAACAGGTCTAGTTGGTTCTAAAGTCTAAACTTCGAGTACTTGTTTTTTTTTTTTTTTTTTTTTTTTTTTTTTTTCTGATAAATAAAAGGGAACAACATTTCGGGACGGCAAAATTTTACTCTGGAAGAAATGTCTTCATTCTCATTATATTCTTGTATATTTATGTGAAGAACCTGGACCTTATGTAGAGAACCATGACAAAAATTGTGGAAAATAGTACAGTTGGTCAGAACGTGCTCCCAAACAGAGTGCAAGACAAGTGTACTGTGTAGAGGCTAGCAACATACATTCTGATCAGCAAGCTAGTGACAGGCAGAAAATAGTTGGCAGCAGTCTTTCAGTAGGAGCCTCTCAAAGTATTACCTGGGCCCAGCTTTAACCAGTTAAAGTGCTTTTATTCCTGTTACAGTACATTAGTGGGGCAGAGATGCTGGGAAGCATGACTGTGCCTTCCTTTGTCTTCTGGGCCTCCAGACTGGGCAGTGTCAGCAGTTAATGAGACTGTTGGTGTGTGTGATAGTTACAGTTTTACATTTCAGATTAAGAAAGATACAGTGTGTTTGTATTTTTCTGAAGTAGTGCTTCTACTCACTGTAAAGGAAGTCTGCAAGATGGATATCAAAAATAACATTAATGAGCTACTAAAGCTAAAATTACAGGAACTTATGAAATTGGTTAAACATAAAAACCATTAAACTGTTTATTGAAGCTTCACAGATATACTGCAGCTAATGAGCATTTCTGCTATTTAAATAAGCCCAAATTGAACACACATTACATGGATACATAATTAGTCATGGCAGTCAAACACAGATTCACTTTTAAAGCTTTATTTGAGGAATCTTTTCCATTTGATTTGTTTTGTTAATTAAAATATTTTTTCTGTATTCACTTACATTTTAATATTGTTTTTGCAAGCACAATAATTTGCTGCTGCTTTTCCATTTGTGTTTATTTGCTCTTTGAATACAGCAAATGGAGAATATATATTCAGAACTGTCCTTTTGTTTGGTATTATTTGTGTTTAGCATTTTTGATAGCATTAGAATAATTCAACTGTATGTTATTTTTCATACAGAAAGTTTATTTCAAATTGTAGATGAGGGCTGTTCTGAAAGTAATGCCTCCTATGTTGCTATGTTGGCCCTCAACATCACAGATGTTGGTAGTCTGGCAGCAGAGACTGAACCTTCCAACAGTATTCTAATGTATTTTGTTGCTGTGTGTCAGATGGCAGCAGAGGGGCACTCTGACAAATTGGCATTTGACATGGAAGTGCATATGAAGTAAAGGTGTGCCACTGAATTCCTCAAAAAAAATGACACTCACTGACATTCGTTGATGCTTCTTGTGCATTTATGGAGAGAAGAAAGTGGATGTGAGCACACTGAGGTGGTGGGTGGTGAATTTCAGCTGTGTGACAGTGGGTCACTTCCACTAGTGCAGATTTTTATGAGCGTAGCATGCAGGCTCTTCTTCATGGCTGGCAAAAATGCACAGCTAATGGTGCTGACTATGTTGAAAAATGGTGTTTTGTAGCTGAGAATTTTCTCTATCAAATAGTATTGTTTTACTCTTTGTATCTGCTGTGTTTTCCATGGAAATAAATGGGATTTGTTACATTCAGAGCAACTTATGTAAAATATCTCATCAGGCTATAAAGGAGAAGGCAACAGAGGCACAAGATTGCATGCTGAATTTTGAAGGAAAAAAAAAAAAAGCTGTATTAGTTTGGAACTTTAAAGAATGTAAGATTGAAAGCATTAGAAAGACACTCGTCTCCTTACTCTGTCCCAAAGAGGGCACCAACAAAAACAGAAAGGTTGTTGTTCAATGGCAGCTCAGACAACTGATAGCCAGGTTCATCTCTTACAAGCTCAGGAATGGATCCAAGATTTTTTCTTACACCTTGCAGAGGCACAGAAAAAGCTTCCGCTTGGGAAGACCAATGTTCTTCCCTTCTTGCAGGCAGTAGTAAGTAGTGCAGAAAGTAGTCCCTTCAAGTGCCCTGAATATAAGATCCAAGGACATTAGGAACTCATATAAGATGGCTTTGAATCATGTCCTTATTTTTACTTAACCTAAATCTTGGAGATTATAAGAAAAACAGAAGGAAATAGCTGCTGGATATCATGTCAACCATACCACAAGGGAAATGTGCTTTCTCAGTTTTAAAAACACTGAATAAGGCAGATAAATCCTCATTCCCCTGGGGGAGGTGTTTCAAGCAGATGCATGTTGGACTTTTTGGCACTCAAAAAGCTTTTGATATAATTATGGCCATACAATTATTTTAGCACAAAACAATCCAAAGATGAATTTGAGAAAAGCAGCAGATCTGGGATAGCCGAAGTAATACCCATTTTCTTCCCACGATGAAAAGAAAGTAGCAGTCATAACTTTTAGTTGTAAATAATTTCCTGTGGAAAAACTGCATCGCCAGTAGTGTGTTGCCCTCTAATACACAGATTGTGGTTTGGTATCATCTCAGAGAAAAAAAATGTCATCTATCCCAACCCCGCTACCCAACCCTGCTGTGGCAAGTTTTCCTCTGTGATTTTTTTTTTCTTCTGAACATGTCTTTACAAGTCTGTATGTATTTGACTTGTGAGAACTGTCTGGACCACATGCTGAGATGGCACCACTGCACTCAGTAAGTTATCCTATGTATGGCTGATTGATGATTGAAAGTTGTCTTGACGTACAGTCTGAGACATAAAGAGGAAGTTAACGTATCGATTTATAAATATTACTGAAGTATAATAGGACTACTATCAGCAACCACAGGCACTTTCCTTAGCAAAACAAAAGCAAAAACCCAACCCAACAAACTCTCATTTCCAGACTGAAAAGTCTCTCGCTCTGAAGGTTCTGTTTGGTGTGACCTTTCAATAATTTAAATATTTTTAAAGGAAGCAATTTCGTAACTTTTTGATTCTGCTAGTAGGCAAATACTATTATTGCCAAGTTAAGCCAAAACTCTGCAGGGTAGGAGGGATTGTGCAAGCAGTACGTCTTGAATATAGATTAAATGTTTCTGCTTTCAGCTTAAAATTGTGATTCTGCTTTCTGAAGCAGATGAAAAATTAAAATCCAAAATTTTGGGTTTGACTCCTGTGGACATTTGTGTTTGCTAAGGGTAAAAAGGAGAACATAGGTGGGATAAGCAGATTTAAATATTTGTATCTTGCTTTTGTTTTTATTATTTTGCCCCTTATTATACACAGCTCTCCTCTTTGAAATACCCTTGTGATATTTGATTTGGAGACAAAGGGACATGCAGAGCCTGGGAAGAAAATTCCATCATGACATTGTGTAAGAATGTCTTTGAAGGTTGCTGTACACCTGGGTGTACACTGGGGCAGTAGTGTGAATTTGCCCTTGTGTTGGTGTAGGAGAAATATTCTTGTTTTAAGCTGGCAGGTTTCTCTTTTACATATATGACAGCACAAGAACATCAGTTTAATTGACCTTGGCAATCTGCATCTGCTAGCGGTATATCCCTGAGGGACAGCACAGTTTTAAGCTGCATTTTATTGCAAAATCTTCAGTTCCTTTAGACTTAAAGCCACATAAAAATAACTCACTCTGATATATGGCATCAACATTTGCTGAAAATATTTATTGAAAATGTGATTCTGTTCATGAAGCTGTTCTGGTGTGTCTCAGTGATAATAAAATAATGTTAGAAATTGCATAATCAAAATCATGTTAAGAAAGAAAGATTATTTTTAAGATGATTTATTTGTAGTCAGTGCCATTTGTCAAAATGTTTGTTTGATTTTTTTAGTCATTACATCCACGTTGTTTTTAAGGACAGTATTAGTTCACACACAGAATGCCTACATACTGTTTACTGGCTTAAAAAAATTAAGGTATTTAATGATCTAAATACTCAGAAATTTTAGTGACAAATATAGGAAAGATCATCTTTGTGTAAGCATTTTATTTTTATTGTTTCTATAATTTCACTCTTTATATATTTGCTTCAAATTGAGCCTTAATTTCAGAATGTTCTGAGCTTAAGTATCAATACAGTATGTTTTCTATTTTGTTATAATGTATCTTTTCCAGGAAAAAAAAAAAAAAAAAAAAAAAAAAAAAAATTTTTAAATCAATACACTTCTTCAAAACCAAAGCAGTCAAAGCATAACAGCATAACATTTCTTGGTAGGGAAAATGTTGCATATAAAAGTTTTCTATCAGGTTTGATAATGACCTATGGAAAAGTAGCAGTGTTTCTGTTGTGAGCATTAAGGAATGTGTGAAGTAAATTCTGAATCAATTTCTAAAAATCATAAACATTCATCTTTGTCTTTAAACCTCAAAAATCATATATGGTATATTAAGTTGTGCAGGAGTTAATATGTTAAGTTTTCAGGTGGAAAGCATGTTGATGTGGAAAGTACAGCACAAAGCCATGGGTGGAGGGGGAAAAAAATTTTCCTTCATTAGCTTTGTTCTTAGTAGGGTTTTTTCAGATTTTTTTTTTTTTCCTTGGATGTAAATAATATTAGTGTGAAAGACTTTGTAACTTCTGGGGTACATTGTTTCTTTTCAGGGAGAGAGCAGAACAACACTAAAAGCAATTATTTCTGGTAGCCAGTCACTTCTTGTGACTCTTCTTGTATTTTGTACACACCTCTGGTTTTGGAGGCACAGAGGAGCCAACCACTTACTGATGTTACCAAAGAACTGTTCCATATAGTAGATGATATTCTTCTGAGTTGTGCTACTGTGTACCTCTACTATCTCAACATAAATGTTTCTGTATAGAAAGTAATTTTTCAGTTCTGTCATAAACTCACATTTAAGTAAGTGAAAAAAATTAGACCTTGGAACTCCTTTTCTAATTGCTATCAGAATGTATTTGAGAGATTCTGGCAACATTTTTTTCTTTCTTCTGTTAACATGTTTGTCCTTCATTTTAATTGCAGTCAGAGAGGCCATGGCACCTATCAAGTTTAACAGATGGGGTCTTCCTGAAGTAGATCCAGAAACTATGCAAACGAGTGAACCTTGGGTTTTTGCAGGCGGTGATATCACTGGTCATGCTAACACAACAGTGGAATCAGTGAATGATGGAAAACAAGCCTCTTGGTACATGCACAGATACATACAGGTAACTATTTATTTATTATAGGTTAAATATGCAAGTCTAGATTATTTGCTGATTTGTACGTTACATAGTCATTCAACTTAGATTGCATACTTGATTTTGAGGAGTTGAATCCAGCTCTCTTACACTATCTTAACACTGAAATCTAAGAAACTATTTCTGAACTCCAGTTGTGAATTCCAGTCAGGGAAAATACACCGTGCAAGTAGAAGTCCTGACTGGTAATTGGGAAAAAGGAAGTGAGTCCATGGTTATTAAAAAAGTAAAATATCTCAATACTGCGTGAAGTAAAAAATAATACTGCCATCGTTGATGGCAGACATTTTTAGTATTTCTTTTTAGTATTTCTGTTTTAGTATTTCTGGAGTATAAGTGTATTAACAGTTTACAGAGAATTCCTGTGATCTACGTGAGAACCAGAGTTGGCTTTACTGAGGCTGATCAAATGGAAGCACAAGACAAAATAGTCACTGAATGCAAAGAGGAAAATAACAGAAAGGAGAATTTATCTGAGTAATGAAAATATAAGGGGTACAGACTTGAAAAACCTGGTAACTACTAGCCCTGCCTTTTCTAGTTGAGGAGAAAGCACTAACTGCAGAGGAGCTGTCAGAGATAGATACAGCCTGTGTGCAGACAGCCAGCTGACAAAGACTGTGTTCATTGTGTAAGGAACTTTTTAGAAATACGATACATGATTCATTCTTCCACCAAAAGAGATTTCAACAACTGAAGTTGGGACTGTAACAGCTCGATGTCTTTCTCCCCCATCCATCTGCTCAAAGCCTCTCTGATTGCATGTTTGTGCAATTTCATGCTGTTGGGGTCTGATTTCACTTCCTAAAAATACTTCAACTGAAAGCTTGTTGTTAGTATCTGTGCATATTTTTTTTTTCACTTGATCTAAAGCACTATTTGTGTCCTGGCTTCTTCAACCCTTTGAAAATGCTGAGTGTGAAACATCTTTAAACCCTGATGTACTTGCTTAATTTCTCAGTACACAGTGAATTTGGGTAACTGTGATACTGGGACATCTCCTTTTTAGTCTCCTTCATCTTTAACCCCTATAAATACAACTGTCACTTGAAACCCCTCCTTTTTCGTGTTGCTTCCTCCTCAAAACTTTCCTCATAAAACCATGACCCTTTTTTCTTTTTCCCTGGTATGTATTGAATGCTTTGCAGGAAATCTGAATAGTCTGGTTTGAGAATTAGAATTTTAAAGCAAGCAGGCTTGTGATATTAGAGAATTTCCGTTACCCTTTGCAGGTTTCAAGGCAGCTTATTCGACCTTACAATCTCACCAGGAAGCTAATGGGAAATCCTTACAGCAATCTTCACAGGAAAGTTTCCAAATGTCAAGTGTCACCTTTCCAGCTGTTAGATGAATGGGTAGCCCAGGGGCATTTATTTGGATGTGCAGCCCTTGTAAAATCTGGTTGCTGTGGTGGAGTGCGCTGTAATTTGGCAGTTTGCTTTACCAGTTCTTGGACTTGGTAGATCTGAAGGAGGGTTTGTATTTTAAAGAAGTTGTTTATGAGAGGATAATGTTACCCTCATGTCTATAGAGGTAGATAATGTATGTGGGTGCATACTTTTGTGTGTATTGCATGGTCATTCCACTGCCCCATATTCTGAAAACTTTCCATGTGAAATGAAGAAAAACCTTTTAAAAGTACCTTATTTCTCTTTACTTTGAGATTCTTAAGGTAAGCAGTCTTTGTGTGAACTGAGTGTCTGAATTAAGTATGATAGGTATTAAACACATTGTTATCATCTATTCATTTGCATTTTAGTTACAGAAATAGGTAGCCATTTTCAAAATCATCAGCTCTCTCAGTAATTGAATCTATAAATAATGCAGTCAGTGTTTAGTAAAATAGAAATATTCCATAAAATATACCTACCAACTCAAGACAAACCCCCCACCGCCCCAACTCCTTGCAGAAATTCCTGTTTGAACAGTATGCTCCTGCTATCCGAACCTACTCCAGACAAAAGGCTAAACAAACAGATGGGCTAGCTATGTGCCCTAAAACTCCAATCATTTCAAGCTCTGGCACACGGTCAAGTGAAGCATGAGATCTAGACTCAAGAACTCTCCAGTAGAAATGCCTTATGTTCAAAACCAGGAATTATTTACAGAAGCTTCTTGGCTGCTCTTTCTCTGGAAACTTTCCATCATTAGTTGCCTAAATGTCTCCTGCCTCTTAACATTTTCTGCCCACTCTGCTAAGCATGGGTTAATTTCAGAAATTGTTGCCTGCAGCTCTGTGTTGGCTTAGTTTCTATAAAGATGACCAGTCAAAACCTAACCAAGGGCAGATGAAGAAGAACCTGTTTGAAAATGCAGTCTCCTTTAAACAATTCTCTACAGGTCGGTAGGGGTTCAAACACAGCCATTTCAATTAATGTAACTATGTGCTACTCCCATTTTTTCAGGATTCAGACTTTTTTGTTACTCCATGAATGTTGTAAAAACATATTTAAATTAGTTTTGGTGATTTATTTAATTTGGGAATTTAATTTGGGCATTATAATGGCCCTTGCTTTTGTCCAAAGGTAACTTTGTAATAGTGGGCAGAGCAATATAGGCTGCTATTCTGCTCTATGCCTCAGTTAGCATCCATTTCTTCCATTTCTTCTTGATCAGTGAATGGGATTTATTATTAACTATTACACAGTAGCTATAGTCAGGATAATTTACAATTATTGCAGGACTAACTAATAATTTTCTGTGCCTGCTTTGAAAACAAGACAGCTCTCCCATCACAGTTCTTGCATTGTTTTCTTTCTTGACCAGGAAGGTTTAGACACCAGCCTTGACTCTGTACTCCTCCTCCATTCATTCATACACTTTCCTGAGAAGCATTTTCCTATATTTGGCTGTCAATATGACATCTTATTCTCACTAAAATCTTTCTAACAAAATGATTTTCCCACTCTTTCCCATAATTATCCTTTTTTTTTTAAAAAAAAAAAAAAATTAAATCTCTTTGTTTATTTGTTTAGTAGTTTTACTGGCCCAGTGTGACCAGTATCTTTCATATTTTAAAATTGGCATGTATACTATGCACTTGAGAAATAGAGGACCAGATCTCATCTGATATAAATTGTACTTCACTTAGGTGAAATATGAATTTTGAACACATCTCTGTGTTCTGTGCAACTCTGAACCAGTGTTGTGTATTTATTATTATATTTCTTTATCTATGCTGTCAAAAATACAAATCTGAAGAGTATAGCTGTTGATTCTTTTCTGAAGGTTGACCCTTCTCATATATTTCTCAAGCATGTAAGAAAGTACCTTATTTCATAATCGATGCCAGAGATGGGTGTTTCCCAGGAAACTTGTCTTTGAAGCTGTTAATTATACTCTCTACTTCTATTCATGAGAACTGAAAGAAAAGAGATGAATGTCCCTTGTCTTGTAAACCACCATGTAAAACACTAGCATCGAGACAAGTAAGAAAACATTTTCAAAAAGTTGGACACAGTGCACGTGCAGGGGACCTGTAACTGCATTACTATTGACTAAAAAATATGTCTGTTCCAGAAAGAGAAAGCCTGAAAGAAGCATTAGAAAATCCCTGACTGGACAGAGCCCTGAGCAACCTGCTCAAGGCGATCCTGCTTTGAGCAAGGATGTTGCACTAGATCATCTCCAGGCATCCTTCCAATCATTCTGTGATTTTTCTTTTTTTGTGAAATAACATAAACATATTTAATAAAGCCAAGGTGTATAAAACAAAGTCACGTAACAGATAATTGGAAAAAGGTTAGAAGATATACAAGTAAGGGAGAATTAAAAAGAGAGTGAAAGGCAGGAATGAGATGAAAATATTTCAGAAAAACTCCCAAGCAGTAGGATTTGTAGAGAAGACTCTCTGTGAAAAATACCAGTAATACAACTACTCACTCTCATAGTCTGTCTTTGTTAAAGGCACAAAAATGGAGTTAGACCATATCACTGTGGTTAAGAATTTTCTCCATCTAAAGAAAATGAATGTCACAAATTCTATCAGGTTTAATGCTCGGTCCCTGTCTCAGCCCTGCACTACAGGCTGTGCTGCTTTTGCCTCTGGGCATATCCTGGTTAGAGCAGGGCAGGGACACCGCACACTGTGTGCTGGGGATTTTTTACCGCGCTCTTGCAGTGTCCAAAAAATTGCCATGACTGAAACAATAAAGTAAGTACCTGCAATATTGTTAGCTTTGCTGGTTGGCATCAAATTAGAGGAAGAGTGAGCCACGCTCTTTGTCCTCTGCTTTTAAAAATCAAGGGAAGAGTTATTATAAATAAACTCTTGCCTGCAGGCTTTCTTTTCCTATTTGTTTTGCGTTGTCAGGGAAATCCTTCATTATAAAGATTATTTTGCTTTCAGGAACCTATAAAACATTATAGTTTGCCAAAAGTTTTGCTTTGTAGAAAACAACACATCAGGGCTTACTAAATTTATTTCTTTTATAAGCACTGTGCTGAAAGGAAAGAACAGCAAAAATAAATAGAGCTAAAAGTGAAGTGATAGGATGGAGGAAGATAAATCTGCAGGGATATAAAGCTACTGGCTCCTGAACCTCCAGCTCCATCCTGCCTTTGTTTGTTTTTGAAGACCTGGATTCATCCGCTTTTTTTATTTTATTTCTTTTCTCCTCCTGTTCTGCTACCTGGGCAGACTCAGGCCACCCCAACACAAACAAATGGTTAGGCACATTTTGGGGTCCTTCAGTGATCCTTGATGAAATTGCTAGTGGTTTTGCTCTTCATGAGGATAGTTCAGCGGGAAGAATAGGCCTGTTTGAAATGTTTGGGCAAGTGGCTTGTGACCAATTTACATGCAGGAGGAAAGGACTATTTTTGCATGGCTAAATTCAGTAATCTCACTCGAGTCTTTCTCTTCTTTAGTAGATATTTTTGTTTATTTATGCATCTATTGCATTATATTTATTTTGCTTTATCACAGGATGCTCATTTTGGGTTGCTATTAGGATTCGCTTTCATGTAACATTCCTTTTAGCCGAGAGCAGCTTTAGAGATTATATTGTCCTGCTTGGGAAAAGAAACGGTACAATGTAACTTAAGCTGCAGCACTTCACCTATTTATCTGTGTATCTCTCTGTGGCAATCAATATTTACAGTTATACAATGATGGAGTAATTTGTGAATCATCCACTGAAGTATACCCACACAGACCATGTGTACAGTTCTGGATACAAATAATAATAATAAATTAACAAATGGCTGCTTTCAAAATGGAAAATTGGGTTTATTGCTCAAATGTGCAAATGCGGGGGAGTTGGCCAAAAGCTTTTCCATAAGTCTCTTAGCTGTCGTTCTGCCAGATTCAAATTCAGAGTTCAGTGTAAGAATTCAATATATTGATGTTGGTTTCAGCAGGTATCGCAGCTTGCAAATATATAGCAGAAAAAAGTGCTACCATTTAAAAAATGCTCCTATATCTGTTCTGTGATCCAGAAGGATCATAAAGTGACTACATCAGCTGCTGCCTGGGAGTAGTGGTCAAGTGGTAGGGTTATGCAAAAATTAGCTTTCTACAAAATGGGCACCAATGGGGACATGTGCAGATTGACATCATTTAGACTAATCTCACTACTTTCCATAGTGGCTTTTAATGCCATCAGAAGATTTGGCCCACAGATGTGTGCTCTCTGTCCGAGGAAATCTAAGGTCAGAATCTGAGACAAGAATCCAGGCATTTCTGAGGCAAAACCAACAAATTAACTGTGAAGATTGGTAACAATCTGATGAACAAAAGATGCTAAAACAAAAATCAAACAAAACAATGGAAAAGCTTCGTTCTCTTCATGCTTATTACTTTTCATGGATGAAGAGGGGTAAATAAGTAACAACAACAAACAGAGAGGTAGCAATTCTTAAGTTGAGGTTTTTCACTGCTACAGAAAACACTAACAAATGCTGTTACAGTGTTTCTTCCTTTTTGTTTTACTTTGCTGATGCTGTGGTGAGATTTCCTAGAAACATAGACTGCGTGGGTATTTTCTATGTACTCAAAATATCTGCCTTATTTTGTTGTGGTTATATCAGCTCCAACTTCTAAGTGAGTAAAGATTTTAATTCTGCCTCCTGCAGCCTGATTAGGATGCTGTTCAGCATCTGTACGTGGAAGATTCTGTCTGTACAATTTTTGCAATATTAAATGCAACATTTACATTGAAAGCATTTCACTTTGACTCTCCAGAGAAAATGCCACCTTTAAAACTGAAAACAAAAGTGACTGTGGTGTCACAGGCATAATGTGTATGTTCTTCTTTGATCTTGAATCAGAGTCTAATTTTTTTCACTTTTGAAGTATTCATGTTTGTTAGTAGATTTGCATATTTTGATATGTATTCCAAGGCATAGAAGAGAAAAGTGCATGAAGTCCAAGTATACTGAGTCGGGGTGAAAGCCTACAGAGTGATCTTGCCTGTGGATTCGTTCCCTCATTTTCCAGAAATCTGTACACTGGATATAGAATACCCTGAGTTGTAAGACATCCACAAGGATCCTTGAATCCAACTCCTGACTCCATAAAGAACCACACAAACTTCAAACCCTAAGTCTGAGTGTGTTGTCCAAATGCTTCTTGAACTCCAGCAGCTTGGTGCTGTGACCACTGCTCTAAAGAGCCTGTTCCATGCCCACCACCCTCTGATGCAGAACCTTTTCCTAAAACACAGTTTTCATAGGTCACCACCTGGGAAGAACACTAGAAAGGGCCTGTCTATACGTGTTTGGTGTTGGTGTTTGTTGGTGTTTTTTTTTGCTTTTTAATTCTCACTATTGCTGACTGTGTAGGGAACAGAACTGGCTATTCAGAATGGTGAAAACAAACAAACAAACAAAAAAACAACGAAACAGCAAACCTTTGGATTAAACCAGGCAGTAGAGGATATGAAATAACTGTTTCATTATTACAGTTCTTCATGTGACATAATATTTCAGCATAAAGGCTATTTGGACAGAACATGTTCCACATGCAAGTGATTGGTATATTTTGCTGATTTGCAATACTTGAATATAAAATAGAATCATTCAAATTTAGTTATTATGTATGAATGATGATGATTATTATTATTTTTAACTCTTATCAAGGTTAATAGTAAATTATATAAAAATGAATCAGCAAAAATTACTGTGATATTTTTCTTTTTACAGTCCTTATATGGTGCTGCAGTTTCTACTACTCCAGAACTACCACTCTTCTATACTCCCATAGATTTAGTAGACATCACTGTATTAATGGCTGGACTGAAGTTTCCAAATCCTTTTGGCATTGCCAGTGCAACTCCTGCTACTAGTTCCTCAATGATTCGAAGAGCTTTTGAAGCTGGATGGGGCTTTGCTGTCACTAAAACATTCTCCCTGGACAAGGTAAGAATATAATTCAAGTCATATTTAGCACATAACTAATTTTTTGCATATTTGAAAAAGGTCTAAATCTTTTGGAAGTCTCACAATCTAGGCTCTAAGGATAAGCAGGGTAACAGTGCATCACTCATGTCTAAGCACTGTTTCACTCATTGACTTACTCATGTAAGTCAAATTATCTTGGAAGTTCCAACGCTGCAGGTTAAAGGTAAAATAATTTCTGTTTGTGATTTGTTTTTAGGGTTTTGTTTTGTTTTATTTCTTGTTGGGTTTTTGTTTGTTTGTTTGTTTGTTTTTGCTATTAAATGCATATTCTTCCCTTTTACTCAACAATGTTTTTAATATTAGTGAACTAGTAACAGTAATGGTACTGTCATAAAAATTGCAGTGAAATTGTTTTCTGTGAGAGATCAGAATTCAGAGGGAGTGAATGACAGCTTTATCAAGCAACTCCTGAAAGGCTGCTACTTTGCCAAGGACTGCCAGGATAAGCCATTGAAACTGAGTTCCAATTGCAGTTTAATAATGCACGCGTGAGCTTGAGGCTGAGTGGATGAGGAAGATGGAGGCACTGTAAAACAAGCCTATGGAGAGGCAAGTAGTTCTGTTGGAGGTTTGTAGCTCAGAGACAAAGCTTCAGTAAGATGTAGTGGAAGAGGAAGGAGTTAAAATAAATTTTTGAAGACTTTGGCTCCGTGTGGCACCTAAAACAAATTCCTCACACAAAGTTAACACAAAGTATTTTGTGTTAACCTGAAGTGGGTGAAGGATAGTTTGATCTACAATTTGCGTTTGCAGTGGGTTTTCTGTTACAATATTCAAAATAGCAAAGTGAGATTCTGAGCAAGAAGTTTAGACTGTGAAAGAAAAGGGTGATTTTGAGAAAAGTATTGCAGAGGAAAGAAATGAGATTTTGGCTGGGGCATAGACACAGTTCGGCTGATGTTGGGAGGAAGAATATCAAAAGTAAAGTCTCAGTAATGGTGTGAATGGTGGTAATGCATTGTCAATTAGTGACAAAGGGTATCATGGAGTGAAGAGAGCTTTTGAGATGTATTTGGAAGGAAGAGACTTTTATTCTTTGTTCAGATATGAAATGTAAAAGAGGATTGGTGGATGGAGACCTTAGCAGGAGAGAAAAAGTAGGCTTTTTGCTCTGCTACCTCAGCAGGTAGCCTTCCAACATCAGGAAATTGTAAGGACAAAGGACTGTGTTACTAGAGAAGACTATAAAAGATGTCAGAGTGGCTTCTTCTCACACTAGAAGTATTCCAAGGAAGTCAGTGCTCCTATAGATTGCAATGGAGATTCTAGTCTATTTTACAGGATTTCTTATTAAAACACTTTTCAGGACATAAATGTCATTCAAGTATGTTTATAACTGACTTATGTGCATAACATACTGTCAGCTGTAATTATTCAGTGCCTAGACTGAAGGTAACTTATAGCAAGTCCTGAGATTTATGTATTAACCGATGTTATTTCTGATATGCTTGCAGTTCTCTCAGACAACACATTGATTGCTGGGTATTTTGAGAGCTAAACAGATACTGTCTGGTTACAGATTTGAGTAGTAGTTCAGAAAGAAAGAAGGAAGCAATTGTAGGAAGTGATGGTGATAGTCCAATAAATAGCAGATTCTCAGAATCCTTTCAGAATCAGTAGTTGAAATCCAGTGCCCCTGGATGCCGTGCTCTGGATGTATCATTCCAATGGAGATCTTTCAAGAGAGATGATGTCTTGAATTGTATGTTGCAGTGTGCAGTAACACTGTCGCACACAAATACTAACAAGTTTTTCTACCACTGTAGTCTTCCCAATAGTCTTCCTATAGCAGTAAAGCCTTAGTATTTCTAATGATTTGAGATGCTTGGCTGGAAGATGCTGAAGACATAAAACTGCTTGGTTTATAGTAGCATCATGAAAATTAATGCTACAAAAATAAATATTTCAAATGAGAAGAAATGCACAATGAGATACAGCAGTTATTCTTTGAACCACAAATACTACACAAAGACTGCTATGTTGACTTAATGCTGAAACAAATAATTGGAATAGATTTTTGATTAATGTAAGCTGGCATAATGTGTTTTTTTAAAAAACAAACAACCAAAAAACACGTAGCTTTGCTTGCATAGACACAAATCCTATGCATTGTTTAGAAGGGAACAGTACGCTCTCATGGGCTGCAGTACCTATGGAAGCAGATTTCTGATTTCACTCTCCTTCCAAGCTAGTAAAAGCTGACTGTGCAGAAGGGCCAGAAACAAAGGTTTCCTGAAGTGAAGAAGAGTTTCAGGGAGAATGGGAGCTTGCTTGACAACTTTTGACAGCTGAAGCTTTTCTACTTCAGCCTTGGTTGTATGTGGTACAATCAGGATTCTGCTTTTATCCCTGTTGTCTCCTTGTCTAATATGTCCTGGCTAGATTTAACTGCTTGTGCAACAGTGGGAGCTTAGCAGCAGTCAAAACACTCCCTCTTCTAGGACTGACTGCTGAATGCACCACCATGTTCAGTCTCTGATAGGGAAACCAATGACTTCCCTATTGAGTGCCGGTGTCATTTGGCACTTTAGCAAAAGTGGCTGATGCGAGGTAAATTTGGATGACATTTGACTACTGAAGAGCATATACAGCTGAAATACATGGATTAAGTACAGTGTGATGGAATAAAATCAGAGAGAAAGGCAGGATGAAATACGGAAGAAGGATATCCAAGAAAAGAGAGAAAAGGTTTTAAGTTGGAGAGGAGTGATTATCATGAGGATCATGTCACATGAACTTCTTTTTCCTCATTCATTGCCTAGCACATCAAAGTCTTGTAAAACACTAGGCTGGGGTACCTGAAGCCCAGGAAAGGCCGTGCGTTCTTATATTGGCCAACTGTTGGAGAGCAACTGAGCAATAGTATCTGCTGGACCATAATTTACTTCCCCAGATTTCCCAGCCATTATCTGTCTTGCATAGCTTTGGTGTACATGGGAGGTATATAGCATAGGGAATATTTTAGAAAATGGTGGATATTACAGTTTGTAATATAAATATTAATTACATGGTGCTATGCCTGTATGCGTCTATATGTTTTAGAAGAGGAGGGGGTCATGATTCATGATTTGCAGAACTTTATTTATGAAAGCAATCATATATGCATAGCACCATTAATATTGAGTAGATTTGATTTCTTCCAGAAGTTAGAATAGCTGCTTTTAACATGGACTATCACTAGGCAAGAAAAGCGGTAGCAGAATAAAAATGCTCCTTTACACCCACCTTCTTCTATACTCATGTCTTCACTCTTGTGTAGAATCAATAACTCATTGCTCTGTTGGTTCAAACAGAGCTTCTGTCTTATTCAGATAACTCTGCTACAAACTACTATTTGTAAATTCTGTCAGCAAGCTATTTGAAGGGGAATGGAAAAGCTGCATATCGTAGAGTCCACAAAGAAATGAGTATCAATCATTACCTCTTTTAGAAGAACACAAAACTACCTACAGAATGAGAAATATTGTGTTAATTAAACAAGTAACAACGAGTGGGAGGTTTTTTTAGTAGAATTGTTGTACTGAGCTGGTTTATTTACTTAGAATTTATTATTGAATACTGGTTAGTATATAAAATTTGCATTAAAATCTTTAATCAGAAAGTTTGTACAAACACAGTATCAAAACAAGCCAGGGATTATATGAACTGTGCATGTCTTTTCTCTAGACATTTCCACTACCACTCTGAATTTATATATGAATTTGGGTTTTATCAACTCAACTCAGCTTTGTTGTTCTCCTAGTGCACTGTATGGGCTGCTTAGAAAGAGGAAAAAGCATGGGATAACAGCAATATTTGCTTTGATTTTTAGATGCTTCCTTCACTTGTAAAATTTAATTCTGATTAATCAGATACATCTGTCTTTATTCTGCTGTGACATGCATTGATTTGTGATGCTGTCGCTTTCAATAATGTGGAAGCAGTTGCCTTTATTATGAGAACAGGCAGAAATCAACATGCAGACTAACTTCATTTCTAATCTTTAATGTATTTTCATTGTATATGAAGCAAATTGCATGCATGATCTTAAAAACAAAACTACAATTAAAACTAGATTATGTTTGAATGAACCCATACCAGAGAAAACTTTCTAGTCATAATATATGTTTATACCAATCACTGAAGCAGAATTTGCAATATATTTTCAGAACCATTTCTAAATGAAAACCATTCCTGGTAGAGAATTCATTAATTTACACAGGATACATAGCATATCTATATGCTGTTATTTCAATATGCAGATTCTGCCATCAACCAGTTATCTCTGTATGTTTGCACTATGTGCATCTTACTTTATAATTGAAAGTGGTAAAAAATCATAAAACAATGACATATTGTTTTCCATAACATTAGTAGTTCACACAAGTGAATCTGTATTTTAAAAATATATATTTTTGTATGATATTACAGCGTAGTAATTTAGATTAAACTAGTTATAATTTATGGTGGCAAGCCAAAATGCTGTTTAAGATGCATTAAAATGCAGAACCATGACATTTGAAATTCTGATGTTCTTAATATGACAAAGGTTATTCTATGGAGTTTTTCTATAATATGAAATATTAATATTTCACAATACAGTTTTGATGAAGTACAATTTGCCTAGCTTGCATATGATAAAGAAATTAAATGCTTACCAAGGGAGTTCAGTGAGAATTAGAGCCTTGCCTGAACATCTGCTTGAAATGTTATTATCCTGTCCTACTGACAGCATCGCTCCCTCATTGTTTTTTGAGATTGACAGCTGAATATTGTACTGATTTCTGCAGCAAATATGTTTAGGTGAACTTTGTTTCGTTTTTTAGAAATTTAGAATGTGCTTTTGATTTCCAACCTATTTTTTTTTTTATACACCTGACATTTGTAGGTGCCAGATTGAGGTCTAGTATGCTGTAGCAAAGATAGACCATTGACTTGCAACTAAATGCCAGTTGATATCTCAGTAAGCAGAAATATTA